TTTTTTTTTTTTTTGAATTGTTAAATTTGCCATCTGATTTTAAAATATTGTAATTTTAATGTATGATTTTGTGTAATTTCCACCAAAAAAAACTTTTCATAAAATTTTTCAACACCCAATGAGCCCCCAAAAAATCAATCTAAACTTGGGAAAAACTTGGATGGATAGTCCTGTCCTTCCCAATCTTGTTTTCAAGTCGAACTATTCAATTCTAAGATTTCAGAAGGAAAAACAATGTCACTGGGCAACAACAATGGAAATCTAATGGAATCAATCAACCGTGTGATCTCAGAACCATACTACTTACTCCATTTTCTAGCATTCTTCTCATACATTCCTATTCGCTGTTCCGCCTCTAACGTTTTCTCTCCTCTCCGCTCGTCTCATCTCCTTTACCGAGTACTCTCTTCTTCACAAATCATTTTTCATTTTATTAGTTGAACTCGATTAATTTATCTATATAACTGTTTTTGTATCTTTTTGTTGGATTTTCAGGAAATTCAAGCGGCTCTTGCATTTTTTGTTTTATCAGCTGTTAAGGTAGGAATATTTAAAAAAAAAAAAAAACCGAAAATCTGATATATTATTTAGTTTTTTAGTCATTTTGTTTTATTTTATGCATCTTCTTGTTTGAGGATATTGATGTGAAACGAATCGATTTTGGTACATTTATTGTTAGTTATGCGGAGTACCGTCCTTGGTTTAAATTTAATTTTGATTTGTCTAAGGCTTAGCTAATATGAACTGCAGCTCTTGAAAATTGAGTTAATGATACTTAAAAAACCTGATAGCTGAAAATTGATAATGTTTTTGAATTAAACTACTATAGATGATATATGCAGGGAAAGGTAATATTGGCTTGATTTCCCAACTTTAGTTGAAATAAGGCAGAATGAACTTTAATTTGATACATTGAATTGTTCTTATGTTGAAAGACATTCTAGAGACAACTTATAATAAAGATTTTCTTGTGTGTATCATGATTTACTGACAGGTGGTGAAAGTGGAAACATGGGAGGCTTTCATATCAGATACTTTATTTTTTGCAAAGGTGCTCCTTTTGATGCTGTTTATATCCTTTTAGTCTCTTTGTAAACATATTTGATGAATATGGTTTTGCTCTCTTGGGAGAATGTTGCATTTGCCAAAGACATGTCGTGTGAACATCTTGTACTGAAAAACTAAATGGAATCATATTTGCTAAATCTTGTCATACAATGTCATAAATTGCAAAATTTAGAAGACACTGAAACTTTGGAATTGATAGTATTGAAAGATTTTAGGATTGGATAGGATAGACTCAAGAAGAAGATAAGGATTAAAAAGAGAAGAAAAGGTGAGAAACGAGCTGTCAAGCTCACCATTTTGTAAAGGAGCTCTTTGACAAAGAACTCAATCCTAAGCTGTAACTAGAAGCTTGAGATTGTGATCTAATCAAATATTTTGCTTGATATCTCAATTTGACACGTACAAATTTTTTTGCACTAGATACATAGGAAAAGAGTTATTGGGGTGATAGAATTCCAACTAATTTGGTGGAGTATTAGCCAAGTTGGGTTTAAATATATTCAGTTACCCCCTTTTCTTTTCTTTTCTTTTCTTTTTGGGGGGATTAGATGCTATATGGAACATGCCTTCCTACTTTGGCGGAGTATTAGCCAAGTTGGGTTTAAATATATTCAGTTACCCCCCATTATTTTTTTTTTTTTGGGGGATTAGATGCTATATGGAACATGCCTTCCTACTTTGTAGCTTACATGCCTATGTTCTTTTCATTTTACATGATTCTTTTAGATTTTAACTCTCCGGAAAATGTATCTTCTAACTCGAGTTCATATTTTTTCAGATTTTCTTTGTTGCTATTGCTTTGGTAATGGACTATCATGTGGCTCTGTGGTATGCATTAATATTTTCTGGTAGGTCTTGCACATTGGAAGTTGTGAAAAGTTTTAATGGAAATACTCATTGTAACTTATGCCGTTCTGCTTTTTTCCCAACAGTAATATATATTATAGCTCAACAACCTGCATATGAAGGACTAGGTATGAGATTATTTCACTGTTATAATCTCTTTCCCTTTCCTGTTGAACTGAATCTTAGCTTCTTTGAGATAAAGTTTATATGCATTTACTCAGTTCATGATGGCCTCCACATGTAATGTGATAATCTATCCTAATATATAATGTTTGTCTTTTTTACTTTTACGGCTTTTTCATATTTCTTCTTCATTTGATTTTTCTAGGTACGGCAAACCAATTAACACCGCTCCAGTTGGAAACTTTGCTTAGTGAAGGGAACAAGTCAAAAATCTGGCTGGTTGGTTTTTGGACTTGCTCTTATTATTTCAGCAAAGATATAGATTCTCTGTGCATGTCTTTACAAATGTATTGTGCTAACGTAGTAGTGGGTGAACTTATCAACAAAACAAAAATAAGAAGTGAGAAAAATAAAGTAGTAGTGGTTATGATGTAGGATAGAGAAGAGAGTAGCAAGAAAGGGGGAAGAAACAGTAGAGAACGAGGGGAGAAACTGGAGAAGAAGCAGAAATTCAAGGGGAAGGGGAAGGGAGAGGAAGGAGATTGCAAGTCAAAACCAATTTCAATTCATCATAATTATCAACTGTCTCAATTATATGGCAAACTAGATTTAAATAACAAAATAAAACCCTAGAGATAAAGGGCCTGGGCCAAACCCATTATACAAGCCCAATAATAGAACATAAGTAATAGTCCAAATAGAAATAAATAAAGAATAGATGTTCTCATCAATTTTCTCGGGGTGGGAAAAAACTTGACCTATTGAGTGGATAGATCACAAGAGGCTGCAGTCAATTTGATACCCCAAATGCTTCAAGTCATGTCACGGGGGACAATCTTTCTGACGAATCAAGTATCGAAATTTCATGATTGATAGTACTGTAGCTTATTCCCAAGCGTATGATTTGACGAAGCTGAATTGGGCAAAGGAAGGTCTTTGTTGATTCCTATAATGTTCCAATAAATCTGGATCATGTTGTTGAAGTCTCTTTCTGGATATCCATGTATCATCAGAATCCAGTCAATCCACCCAACGATCAAGAAAGCACTGGATATCTCT